CCCTTACCTATCTGCAGTGGGTCCTTCACAGCCCTCATGCGAAACAGCTGATCCCCTCGCTGGAATTCATCTGCACTGCCATTGGCCAGGCATGAATAAAGCCTAGTGGGGAAAACAGGACATAGCCAGAACCTAGCAAACAACCTTCCACAGACCCTGTCAGAGACTGCAACACCTTAGGCACTCTCTCCCATTGCCATTACTTCTTGGGGAAAATCCTAGGCACTCCCTCCTCCCTTCATCTTCCTCTCAGTACAGTCCCAAATATAGCATCTCCTTTCTTCTATGGAAAACCCATCAACCAGTGTGGGATATCAGGACCCTACTCCCCACCCAGTCCTCTGGCCTCACCGAATGTCCTCTTCATTCTCAGGGAAGCTCCAAAAAGCAATTCGGAGCTGGAGCTGCTCAGGCACTGGAGGGTAAACTTTTTCCACCACTTCAAACGGGATGTGAAATGCCACCTGCTTTGCTGACAGCTCCACTAATGGGATCACCAGTCCATCTTTAGAAATAAAGAGAAAAGGGGAAATTAAAAGGACCATAATACTTGGCACTAATGTCAGTGCCACATCCTGGGCCCCCTCTTCACTATGAAAGAAAGGAAACCTTGATGAAAATCCCAGGGACCTTCCTGTCAGAATTCACTAACCCTTAAACTATTTCTGGGTGAAGGGAACTGGGCAGTTCCCAGCCTACAGCCTACTACCTCAGCCCAGAACAGAAAATACCAGGGAGACTCCAGGAAACTCCTGGGCAGACAACTATGTTCCAGAACTCTAGCAGGTAACTTGCTTACAGGGCTTAGCATCAATTTTCTCACATACCCCAGCACTTTAGATTCATATTACATTGTTACTATCACTCCTCTGGCATTTCACTTCTGATTGCCTTTTCAATATCCCCTTTTCTCTAGATGAGTGCAGGCCCTCATCTGAGGTGGAAAGATGGGCCAGAACCCAGAAGAGTGAAGTGGGGACCTCAGGAAGCAAAAGAAGTTGCACTGCCTCTGGCATACCTAAATGCTGACTTCCCCACTGGATGCCCTCATGAGGAGACAGTTATCCCAGAAAACCTAGCTGCCACTCCTGGCATTACCTGGAGTTACCACTCAAGAAAGTTTTCCATACTGTTTTAATCAAAAAGCAACAATAGCAACAAAGATTGCACATCTCACCAAATAGCCAGTCAGATAAGACAGTTCAGAAAATCAGAGAACTGAAAAAAATCTTTTAAAAACTTAACCCCTTTATTTTACAAGTAAGCAACTGAAGGTAGCTGTCAAAGGGGTGGAGCGGAAATGACATGACCATTCAACAACAGATCTTTAACCTAGCCAAGAAGGTTAAGATACCAACATGTTGAAAATCTTCACCACCATGGCTTCAGTTACTTCCTCCAAAGTGAGGGAGCTCTAAGCCCCAAGGCCACCCACACAAGCACATATCATAGTAGGAAGGCCATAGAAAACATACAGAGAAACTGCTTATGGTGTGTGTTGTGTGTATATAAATGAGGCTGAATACCACCACTCCTAAAAACTGACACACATAAATTTTTCTCTGTCCCAAAGAGGCACAAGAAATCTCTGCAGAGCAGCTTGGAAAAGAACTCTTGGGGAATGATGTGAGTAGAATTCTTCAACTGCTGAAGAAAACTAGCTCCCCTGAGGCCCAGGACAAAAACTGCGTGAGCAAGGCAAGGAAAGATGGGAGAGACCTGAGCCTGTTGAGCTTCACATCTTCACGCTCCTTTCCATTGCCTCTAACGAAAGAAAAGTCTTTACAGTACTCATCTGCTATTTCACTGAAAGACCCAAGAATGAAAGAAACACAGCAAAAGCTAGGGAAAGTGTTTGAGGAGCGCCTAGAGACAACTACAATCTTGACCGGGCCTCAGAGATGGAAATCTAGGGCTCCCAGCACTAGCGGCAGCCTTGGCTTCTCACAGATGTTCCAAATGGTCAGGAGCAAACTTCTGCTCTAACCCTATAGGCTCCGGAATCTCTTCCCATAGGCCTGTTCACTTCCACTTTCCTCTTTGTGGGATCCCTTCTTGGGCAGCTGGGATCAGAGATGAACACCCCGAAGCAAGAAGCTCCCAATCTACTTTGCAATCCACGCTAATGATCACTTCTTCACAATTCGCCCCCTACCCACATTCTCTTCCCGACTACCTTCTGGTTTGCCCAAAGCTGAACTCAGTTAAGTATTCACGAGTCAGAGAACGAATTCTTCTCCCTTACTCCATCTCTAAGGCAAAGGAACGACAAAAGGATCTTTGTGTACAACGCAGAATTTCCCTGCCACAACGCGCACAAAATGCACACGAAACAACACACACAGAAACTGCTGTGGAGACGCCGGCCCAACCTCGGGAAGGCCAGGAACGCGAGTCCTGAACCCTTCAATGCTGGGACAGCTCCCAGTCCCAGACAGCTCCCGAGCCAGGCCCGAGCGGGCCCGCCGCTCCCCTCACCTCGCGTTCGGGTACCGCCACTGCCACCTCCGCCCCCGCCGCCTGTAGGGGAATTGGGCCCCGCTGACTGTTTGCGCCATCCCCGCCAGTTCTGGCAAAGGCTCTCGGCCTCGGAGATGAAGGAGCAGAGCGAATCCTCCTCAAAGCGGTCGGAATCCTCGAAGGAGAAGCGCTCTCCGTCCTCCCACTCAGCGAACATCAGCTCCATGGGGCCCGCACCCCCCGGGGCCGGGTCCCCCCCCGCGGATCCGGGGCCTGGGCCGCCGGCCGGGGACTGAGGGGAAGCCCGGGGCCTGAGGGGCGAGCCGGGGCTGGGGGTAGCGGGGGCGCTCAGGGCGGCCGTGCCGGACTAGGATCTCAGGCCTGGGAGCGATATGGGACCGGGCCTCGCCCAACAGCGAGGGGCGAGCAGGGATTGTGGCCAGTCTTCGAGACTCAGGGCCCGGACGAAGCTCTGGGCGGCCGGGGCCTCTAAGAGGCTGCGGTGCCGCCTCCCCCATCAGCTGATCTGAACTTCCGGCCGCGCCGGCCATCACCACTTCCGCCCTCACGCGCTCCTGAACTGGACGCGGTACGGGCGGGTGTAGGGGACATGTTTGTTTCGTTGCTGCATTTCGCGCATTCACCTGAGCACACCCTCAGGCACCATAAGAGGAAGCCAACCTCCAAAGGGACACGAAACAACTACGGATTCCAGTGATAACTTGGTATCCATAACGTCCCTCAGGAATAAACAGCTGCGTGCATGTCGGGAACTGTAGGCTGTCACGAGATAGCGCAGGAACCATTGGACAGTTTTTGTCCCGACTCGGGATAGGCCCTGGGGCCGCATCACCTTGTGGGGATTGTAGTCCAGAAGACTTCAATCTGGCTAACTTCACAGGATCTAACTGGAGAAGCACCAGGAAAGAAGATATTTGATTTCAGGAAATGGCTGTTCTTTTTGTCAGTACAGCCTTTGGATCTAGGAATTCTTAACCTTTTTGTGCTATAGTGAACTCTGGTGAAGTCTATGAACCCACCCTCCTCAGATTGTTTATAAGTGCACAAATAAAATACAAGAAGTATATAGAAACCAATTATGTTGCAATACGGTTGTCAAGATACAAACAAATTTATAACACAGTAATGTGTCTTTATTTATATATAAAACGACAAGATTGGGCTGGGTAGCCTAGTATGCACAAAATGCTGGGTTCCAATCCTAACACCGCAAAAAAAAAAAAAGACACTCTTGTAATTCTAGCAACTAGAGAGGCAGAAATGGGAGAGGATCGCAGTTCCAGGCCAGCCCAGGCCAAAATGTTAATGAGACCCCATCTCAACCAAAAAATTCTGGGCGTGGTGATATACAACTGTCATCCCAGCTAAACGGAATTGTAAATAGGAGGGTCACAGTCCAAGCTGGCCCCAGTATTAACCAAATCAAAATAGGGCTGGGAGCATAGCTGAAATGGTCCACTGTCTGCCTAGAAAGCACAAGGCCCCAAATTCAAACCCTAGTACAAAAAAAAAAGTAACTTTGAAGCTAATGAGTATAATTTATAACCAATTAAATATGGTATTAAAATACCATAATTGGGGCTGGTGGTATAGATCAGTGATAAGGGAGTCTACCAAGCATGAACAAGGCCTTGGGTTCAATTCCCAGCACCAAAACAAACAAACCATGATTTCATACAGACACTACTAACACTACTGTTGTTTATTTCTTATAATCTTAATTGAAATGCTAAATTTCAGTTGTGGTTAAAAATGTATTTTTCCCCATTCAAGTTTACAGACTTCTGAGAGTCTATTGACCCTATATTAAGAACCCCTTAGGAGCTGGGTGCTGGTGGCTCATGCCTGTAATCCTAGGTACTCAAGAGGCAGATGCTAGGAGGATCACAGTTTGAAGACAGCTCAAGAAAATAGTTCATGAGACCCTACCTTGACAAAACCCATCACAAAAAAGGGCTGGTGGAGTCTCTCAAAGTGTAGGCCCTGAGTTCAAACTCCAGTACCAAGAAAATGTTTTTCTTTTTTTTTTTAAGGAAAAGCTAAAAAATTGACTTTTTTTCTATTTCTCAATGTGGTCAGATAATTTTTAGATTTTTTAGACTTTTTTTAATTGCATGAATCAAATAAAATACATTTTCAGAATCTCTGGGTTACCAGTTTGTATATTTTATCCAGGGTGCACCTTGCAGGGGTTATGCACACAATATATGGACTCACTAAATACATATGATGGCAAAAATCTCTGCATACAAACAGACTTCAACATCCTTAATGTTTCAAAGGCTAAAACAATAAATGGTGTAAAGAACTTCAAACGCGGGAAAAAAACATCTTTATCCATCCTACGATGAATCAGGAAACAAGGAAAATATAAGGTCAAGAAAGGAAGGAGGGTAGGCTCAGGGTTTAGTTCTGTGGTGGAAGGAGGGGAGAAGGAAAAAGGGAGGGAGGGAGGGAAGGACGGAAAGAAAGGAAGGAATATTTCATTCAGAACAAAAGGCCAATTTCTCTTTAGGGGATTTTATTTCAAAATAAAGCACAACTTCCATCCAGAACATGATAAAAGTTGTTTTGCCTCATTTTGCCCTTTGAAGAGGACATGGCTGTGGACATCTCTAAAATGTCTCTGCATAGTTCTCAGAAGTAACAGTTCCATCATTGAAAATGTTTCTCCATTTTCAGCTGAGGTGAGGTTTGTTAGGAAACCTCTGTAACAACTTATTCAGTGTTTTGGGAGGTAAACTCCTGGACTCTCCCAGGGTCTCCTGGATTAACCTCATCTTTCCTGCTTCCTGAAAACAGAACAAAAACAGTTAACAGTTCTAAAGTTTGCCCTGACATAGGCCCATAGTTTTCATAATGCTCTGAAGCACAAGGACATTAACTAGCCCCAGAGATCTATGTCGGTCGCTTTCAATAAAAGCGACTTGGAACCTACAAATGATCTGAAGCTACTAAGGCCGGCTAGCAATCAAGTGGAGGCTGGAAGCCAACATGTCCTCAGACAGTTTCATTACCTTTAGTTGTTTCAGACAATGTCTATTTGAACACGTTTAAATTTGTCCAAGTGCATTAACCATTCACTACTTCATTTGACTCAAAAAATTATGTAACGTGGGTATTAAATATTAACCTTATATATAGTAAAGCTAAAGTTCAGAGCCGTGAAATAAATCGGAATTATCAATAGTCTTCAAATAGCTTTTTCCAATTTGGCCGGGGTAAAGTAGCTCCCAAATGAATGAGAGGACTTTGCCCATCGCTTAGCAAAACGCAGGGAGAGCCATTATTTTTAGCCTCCCCATTCTCTTCCCCAGAAGGCACGCAGGGCTTGTTACCTGAGCACTCGAAGCACAATCGAAGAAATCCTGGATCTCTTTTCTGCACGCATCGTCGCGGAATTCATTCTGCTTCCAGCAAGCCATCATTATCGACATCTCCGTGATACAGGTCGCCTCTGGAGAAAAAGAACTGCGGAACTTTGAGTCACAATGAGACCTTTCCTCCCCGCCCTCCTACGCAGCCGCTCCTGCCCTCCTCGGGTTTCCGCTCCGGGGCCTCCTGGGCTCCGACTGCTCACCGCCCTTCTCCCGGCGCCGGTCCCCGACACGGTTAGCAAGGATGAGGGGTTTGTTAGGCTTCAGTATAGGCTTCCGCGGGTTCCCAAGCCGCGCCAGGCGGCCCCGCAGGCTGGGGGTCGCCATTATGCATCGCGCTCCCAGAAGGCTCTGCGGCGCCGTGCGTGACCCTGCGTGACCCCTACGGGCTAGATGGGGTTCGCAGCCCATCTCGCAGACAACTAGGTCGGCGGTCTTCCATTTACTGGACTTTCTGCGAGAACTCTTGAGTTCAGACAGCCGCAGGTCCATACCGGTTAGCAGGTTCGGAGACTCTTTGAGCTCCTACGTCCACGGAGGCCACTCCTTTATGGGCTTCGGGCCCTGAAGCCTGGGTGCAGAATTGAGCAGGGGACATCCAGGAAGGGGCCACGATAAATGGACATTGGTTTCTGGTGGTAGCCGGAGGCTCTAGAGGGTGACACAGGCAAGGCCGGATAGGAAGGAAACAAAAATGAGCCTTTTTTTTTTAATTATCCTATATTAATTTACAGAGGGATTTCATTGTGATGTTCCATGCATTAATGTAATGCACTTTGATCAAATTCACCCCATTATTCTAAAAACGAGGGTTTTTTTTTCCCCTTTTCGGTACTGGAGCTTGAACTCAGAGTCTACACCTTGAGCCACTCCAACAGTTTTGTGTGTGTGTGTGTGTGTGTGTGTGTGTGTCAGGTTTTTTCCCCCAGATAGGGTCTGGTGAACTGTTTGTCCCTGCGGGCTTCAAACCGCGATCCTCTTGATGTTTGCCTTCTGAGTAGCTAGGATTACAGACTTGAGCCACCAGCACCCGGCTTAAAAATGAGTTTTAAGGTGTTAGGAAGATTTTTGTTGCTTAATAAACCTACAAGAACTGTTATCTTTTGGGACCACTCCAAAGCCACAAGGAAAAATTAAGCTTGTATTATTTTGTAACTACTACTGAGATACCGTTGCTCATTTGTATGGTCCTATTGCTTGTGGTGAGGCTAAAATGCTTTCCCATTTATCATCCTATTAATCCTTTCGTCAGCTGTTTGAAAGTAGTTGGTAGTATCATTCCTGTTTATAGACTTGGACCTCCAGTTGTGATGCTTCATCAGACTCAGTTCTTAAGTTTTTTGGTTGTTGATAAAACTCAAAAGATATGCCAGCACTGGAGGCGTGGCTCAAGCAGTAGAGTGCCTGCTTTGCAAGCACAAAACCCTGAGTTCAAATCCCAGTCCTGCCAAAAAGAAAAAAAAAGTGAGCCTAACTTTGGGCTGGTGGAGTGCTTCAAGTGGTAGAGCACCTGCTTAGCAAGTGTGAGGCCCTGAGTTCAAACTCCAGTATCACCAAAAGAATTAGTAAATAAAAAACAAAACCTTTAAAAAAAAAAAAAAAGGTATGTCAGGAACTCTCAAGGCATTTCCAAACAAGCTCCAAGAACTGTTTCTGGTGATAGTATAATTTAAACAAGCATGTAGTTCTCAAGGCTAACTGCTTTGGAGGAGCAATATTTAGTTGGATATGTACATTTAGTGTTAAAATCATTTATTGCAGATATTTGGAAACTTCCCAGGACATCTGCATAGCTAGTTTTCTTTCCTGACTTGTCACACCCCACCACTATCAACCTGTTCTCTTATTTTCAGAATTATCAGTCTGCATTTATTGTTTTGTTTATGGTCTTATCTACTCCAACATCCAATTTTAAACGTAAGCACTGTGAGAGAAGGAACGTTGTGAATCCTGATGGTTGCTAATCCCCAGTGCCTAGAATAGTGCCAAAAAATACTCATTAAATGATCTTTTATGTCTCCAACTTCATCATGCCCAACAACCAAAAAATGACCAAGTACACTATTTTAAAAGCAGTTTATTATACAAAATGGAACCTGAGATAATAAAAAATAGCAACACTTGGGGTACTAAAGGCATCATCAGTCTGTGCTCCAGGCCCACACTCCAGTAGTGTAAGTAAAAGATTCCTGTCAGACACTTCTACCACTAGTAACCACCACTTGTAGCTAGTATGCTGCTGATGTATATAGAGCAGGATGAGCCCCAAATCAGAGAATATTCACTTTGCTTGCTTTCTCCATGGGGAAAGTGAAGCTTTTGGTAAGTACCATGTAGCTATTCCTAGTTCTTTCTCATGTGGAAATGTAGCAACTGATTTACTTTTTTTTTTTTTTTTTGCAGTACCGGGGCTTGAACTCAGGGCCTTCACCTTGAGCCACTCCACCGGCCCTATTTTTGTGAAGGGTTTTTCAAGATAGATCTTGAGAACTATTTCCCCAGGCTGGCTTTGAACCTCGATCCTCCTGATCTCTGCCTCCTGAGTAGTTAGGATTACAGGCATGAGCCACCAGCACCTGGGTGACTTACCCTATTCTTTTCTAAATACTTATATCAAGATAGGAATAAAGGAGAGTCTGGGAAGCACTGAGCACAAAGCAGGCCTGAGTCTCTAGCAATAATCCATTCACAAATTGGCCCACTTTGTAAATGAAAGTGATAAATGTGAATGTTAGCTGTTATAAGTAGACAGGAGAGATGAGAATTATTCTATACCTTGAATGACCATTATTTATCCCTTTTATTGTACATGATAAAATCTGAGTAGTAACCTAGGTTTGTACTTGTGCAATATGTATTTTGCACCATGAATCAGCACATGCATTGAAATTAGATTGTAAGCTTAGAAATCAGCTCCCTGTTTCTGATTCCTTTGAAGGTGCCTACTATATCATATTTTTTGGGTTTTTTAATTTTTATTTTTTTGGCAGTACTGAGGTTTGAACTCAGGGCCTCATACCTGCTAGGCAGGCACTCTACCATTTGAAACACTCTGCTAGCCCTTTTCTATATTGGTATTTTTGAGATATGACCTTGGGAAGTATTTGCCTGGGCTGGCCTCAAACCATGATCCTCCTGATCTCTGCTTTCTGAGCAGCAAGGATTTCAGGCATGAGCCACCAATGCCAGCAAACTTTTTGGTTTTCTGAGACAGGGTCTTGTTATTGTAGCCCAGATTGGCCTCGAACTCATGATCCTCCTGCCTCAGATGTATTTCTGAAGGTCTTGTTCTTTTCTGAAAGAGACCAAAAAGGTTAAGCAAACTTTTCATGCCATTATGAAGGACATCTTTTATCATAGACAAAAAATAATAGCTGGGGATACAGTTCAGAGGCAGAGCACACCTGGGTTCAATGCCTAGCACCACACACACACAAAAAGAATAAAATGGAAAAAAACAAAAAAAAACCTTAGCAATGAAATGTAGCCAAAACGGCAGCTTTCTTGATTACATCCTTAATGCCACCCAGTTACTGAAGCATCTAACATGATACATATTTACCTATGTAGCTATGAATGTATGTGTGTGTATATATATATATATATATATATGTGTGTGTGTGTGTGTGTATTTACACTCATATATATTGATAAGCTGTGGAACTTCTCTAATGATAATTCATTAATATATTTCAACCAGAGGAGCTCTAAGGTCCAAGATATTCTTCCTTCCACTGTCCCAGAAAAGGGTCATGGTCTTTTTACTCATTGGGGTTGTATGTTCAAATCACAGTAGTAGACAGCTTTAGCTGAATCCCCAAATCTAAAATTTTTATTTAGCCAGGCACTTACTATGGCTTAAATCCCTTTCCTTGCCTCATGTCTTTTAGTTTAGAGCATTGAGTAGGCTTCATCAAAAAGTAAGTCTACTATAAAGTTGTATGGAAGGGTATCAGTAATAGATTGAATGAAGATGGACTATTCATCAACTTTTCTGCCATCATTTCTAGCCTTAGCTCCATTTTTGATCTAAAATAGAACAGGACAATACATTAAATTGACATGGCGTATATTAGTCACTGAATCTTCATGAGATGAAAAGGGATTCCAGATATACTCCAAGTAAAAAGCAACCAGCAGAACGATGGCAAGATTTGTGTATCTTCTCTGAAATTGTGGGGAAGGGCCTAAACCCAGAAAGAAAAAGCCATTTATAATAAAAGGTTTGAAAGCTGGTGGAGAAGCTCAAGTGGTAGAGTGCCTGCCTAGCAAGTGTGAGGCCGAGTTCAAATCCCAGCACCGCAAAAAAAAAAAAAGTTTGCCATGAAATACAACGTAAATATAAAAAATACAATCCCAAGGGCTGGGCATGCACCTGTAGTCCCAGCTATTTAAAAGGCTGAAGTAGGAGGATCATCTGAGTCCAGGAGTTGGAGCCCAACCTGAGTAACACAGTGAGGCCCCATCTCAAAAATATTTTAATTAGAAAAAAACTGAAAACCTAGAAACCAGAATAAAACCCATCAGAGGTTTTGCTTCTCCACCAGTGTAAGCTCATAAAACAAGACATGAGGAAAAGAGATTGTGAGAATTGTACTGAAGGATGAAGAGTTTGGGTAATACAACAGGAGTCTTAAGTCATAATCTGGCCTATCTTACCCACAACTGAAAGGATGAAATAGCTTCAGAAGTGAATAGTTCTAAGCTGGGCACTGGTAGTTTACACCTGTAATCCTAGCTACTTAAAAAGCAGAAATGAGGAGGATCGCAGTTTGAAGCCACCCCAGGCAAACAGCTCTCCAGACCCTATCTCAAAAAACGCATCAAAAAAAAAAAAAAAAAAAAAAAAGGCTATCATAGTGGCTCAAGTGGTAAGAGTGCCTACCTAGCAAGTGTGAGGCCCGGAGTTTAAACCCCAATGCTACCAAAAAAAAAAAAAAAGTGCTTTAAAAATTCTGTTGATCCAGGAATGGAGGGAGAGGGGAATTAAGGAGAATGATGGAGGGGATGAATTCAACTATGATATATTGTAAGAACTTTTGTAAATGTCACCATGTACCCCCAGTAAAACAATTAATAAAAAAAAAAATATGTTGGATGTCAGGCACCTGTGGATCATAACTGTAATCCTAGCTACTCAAGAGGCAGAGATCAGGAGGATTGGGGTTCAAGGCCAGTCCTGGACAAATAGTTCACCAGACCTTATCTCCAAAATACCCATCACAAAACAAGACTGGCAGAGTGGTTCAAAGTGGTAGAGTGTCCACCTAGAAAGTTTGAGGCCCTGAGTTCAAACCCCAGTAGCGCATAAAAAAATTCTGTTGGGCCAGCCTCTTGAGTCAAACGGATGTTTCAGGCTTCTATTTCCCAATGAACCAAGAACTCTATTTCCATCTCTCCTTGAGAAGCTCTATTATTATACATCATTAAGATAAAATACCTAGATAGAACACTTACCTAACATGCTCAAATCTTGGGTTTGATCCCCCCAGCAATGGAAAAAAAAAATCAGGGAATATAAGTGAATCCATGGTAAGTTTTCATTAAGGGCTTTGGGCAATGGCTGTTCCTTACATGCCATCGTAGGATAAAATCTGATTTTCCAAGTTAAAGCCTCTTTCAAGGACAGTTAGATATTTTTATTCCTTTTCATGAAGATCTCATGCAAGTAATCCCAAAATTTCCTCTGCTGTGTCTCATTGTTGTGGATCATGGCAGTGAGAGCTTCTCCCTGGTCCAGACCTTGCCAATAATCTTGTAGCCACATCTCTTTCCAGCTGAAACACCAAAGTGAAGGGTAGATTATGGAACCATAGCACAGTGATGGATCCTGCCTTTCTCTGAGTGGGGCCAAAGAAATCTTAGGCAGATAATGGTCTCTGGCTAGGACAGTGTTCTTCTGTGAAGGGAAGGGAATGTGAAATAAAACCAATACTAACCCGAGTGACAGGAAGTAAGCCACAAACACAATAAAGTCCACTCAATGAGTTAAAATTCCTGACTTGTCTCCTCCTGGCTCCTAAATGTGGAGGGAGTTCAGAGGTAGTGTGTAGCAGGGGTCAGACTAGGGAAGTAGTAGTCTTCCCAGGAAAGTGAGAAAGCAGGAGGGGGTCCTTAAATGGTTCTATTTCAAATTTCAAATGAAAGTACAGTGGCATCTAATACCTAGAAAAGACATAACCTAAGTATTTGGTTTTTTATTTTGTATTATTTACTTATTTTTGTGGTATTGGGGCTTGAATTCAGGGTCTACACCTTGAGCCACTCCACCAATTTTCCTGGGCTGGCTTTGAACTGCGATCCTCCTGACCTCTGCCTCCTGAGTAGCAAGGATTAAGGCATGAGCCACCAGCACCCAGCCTGAATTTTATTTTCTTAATGTTTTACACTTTCTCTCTAGCAAATCATATGTTCAGTATAAACTAGGTACAAATTCTTGGAGGACTCCATCATCAGGACCAAACTGCCAGCAGCACATATAATCAGCTTTCTGCTGCCATCAGTTTAATCTTCCCACCTGCAATGGGTGTGGCCTGCTACAAGTGGCTTCAATATTTTTCCACTCCATCTCCCTCCCATGCAGACAAACCTTGCTTTCCAATGTTACCACCTTCTACTACAGTAGCCTACTGACTTCCCTTCCAATCCACACTGCCCACCATTGTTAACTATTAACCTTCTGAAAACACTCCTTCAATTCTGTCTAGAGTAAATGTATACTTTTGCATCCAAGTTAGGATACTTAAGAGTGAAAGGAGGGCTGGGGGTGTAGCACTCTTGCCTACTTAACATGCTAAATGCTCTAGGTTCAATCCCTGGCCCCATGGAATAAAAAAGTGAAAGTGGGTGTTATTAATAATTATGCCTGCTTGCCAGGCACGAGTAGCTCACATCTGTAATCCTAGTTACTTGGGAAGCTGAGATAGGGAGTGGGAGTGAGGTTTAGGTTTGAGGCCACCCTGGGCAAATAGTTCCAGAGACCCCCATCTCCAAAATAACTAGAGCAAAATGGACTGAAAGTGTGGTTCAAGAAGTAGAGCATCTTCTTTGCAAGTAGGAGGCCCTGAGTTCAAACCCTAGAACCATCCCCCCCACCAAAATATATATGTGCCTGTGTGTGTGTGTGTGTGTGTGTGTGTATGGCTAACTGATGTAAAACCCTGACAACTGCAAAAGAACCACCTTCAAAACTGCAGAAGAACTCCCTTCAAAATGTTCATCTCAAGCTGGAGGTGTAGCTCAGTGGTAGTGGTAGAATACTTGTCCAGTGTCCAAGGCCCTGAGTTCAAGCCTAAGCATGGCCAAAAAAAACAACCAGCTCATTGTCCAAGAGACAGAGATCAGGAGGATCACCATTCTAAGCCAGCCTGGGCAAATAGTTCACAAGACCTTCTCTTGAAAATACCCAACACAATACAGGGCTGGTGAGTGGCTCAAGTGGTAGAGCAAGCACGATGTCCTGAATTCAAACCCCAGTACTACAAAAAAAGTCAAGTAGCTGATCATTTTATTTTTCAGGTCAGTCCAAACTCCTGAGCCTGGTATACAAGCTATTTATAACCTGGCCTATTTAGTGCTCACCTTTCTCTCCCATCACCTCCCTGCACAGGTCCTCTGCTCTGGCTCATTTGTTTTGAATCACTATGGCAAACACTGACCACATAAATGGATTTTCATGTGTACCCTTGAATTACATTTTACATCTTTACTCATAGTTTTTTGTTGTTGCTTTTTGTTTTGTGGTACCAGGGCTTGAACTCAGGGCCTTCACCTTTAGCCACTCCACAAGCCCTTTTTGTGATGGGTATTTTCGACATAGGGTCCCACTAACTATTTGCCCAGGCTGGCTTGGAACAGTGATTCTCCTACTCGCTGCCTCCTGAGTAGCTAGGATAACAGGTGTGAAGCCACTAGCACCAGGCTTTTACTCAGCTTTTTCAGTTTTTCTTATCTTCCCAACTACTCTATTATGAATTTATGTATTTATTTTTTGAGGTAGGGTCTGTCTGTGTAACCCAGGCTGCCCTTGAACTCTGATCCGCCTGCCTCAGCCTCCAAAGTAATGGGATTACAAGCATGCGTGGCTCTCCACCTATTTGGACACCTGAAAGACAGTGTGAGCCCATTTCATAACTTTCTCACACTCCCCTCAGCAGTGGGTGCTACTTCCTTGCCCACAATAAGCAAATAATAATTTGACTTGACAGCTACATGGTACCCCAGCTGTCCCTACCTGTCATTGTCAGGAATCTCTTCCACATTGCCAAAGCCAGGTGTGGGCACTGGACAGTTCATGTGTGAAGGCTGAGCAATATGAGGCTCAGGCACAGGGATGTCCCCAGGAGAGGCTGCATGGGCGTTCTCGGCGTCCAGCCGAGCCAGTTCGTGGTCACAGACAAAACACTCAAAGCCGTTGAGGTAGTTGGGCAGCAGAGGATCATTCACCCCCCACTCCCGGTGTTTCAGCCTATCCAGAAGGAACTGGTTGGTGATGCCCCCAAGTTGCTTGTACTCCAGAAATTTCATATACTCCTCGTCATTCTTGTCCAGAAAATCAATAAACTCTGCCAGCTTCTGAGGGGACTCAAAATCGTCAATCAGGATGATGGAGTGGTTGTTCGGCATCCAGTCCCTCACAGAGGGAGAGCCGCGGTAGACGGGCACAGCACCCAGGTGCATGGGGCGCCACAGTTTTTCTGTCATGTAGTCATTGCAGATGGCGTTTTCGAGGGCCAAATGGAACTTATAGCGGGACAAGAAGGCTAAAAGCTCCGGATCCTCGGTGGTGGCCGTGGCTGTGTCCTGCAACCGCGCGGTGGGCAGCTCCCGATTCTGCAGACACTTCCCGTACGAGTCCACCTGAGCGGGGCAGAGCACCGCCGTCAGGAGCGTTCGGAGGGTCGCCCGGCCTCCCCCGGCCCGGGACTCCGCCCCGCCCGCTCCCCGCCGCGCGCAGCCCGCACCCACCGGGATGTAGCGCATGAGCTCACGCACGTAGCGGTCCCGGTCTGCAGGCACGTCGCAGTGGGACTGCAGGTACAGCAGCGGCGCGTAGCCGCGGCGGCGCCACTCCGCACGCTCCCGGAGCGGAGGCGCCGGGCGGCGCAGATAGGCGATGCCGGGCAGCCACTGCAGCGTCAGCGGATAGTCCGAGTGACGGCTAAAGGTGGCGGTGAGATTGAACAGGCGGATGCCCGGACCGTGGCTCAACAAGAAGTTGTTGAGAGGCGACTCCTCGTGTAGGAGAGCCCAGCTCTGGTGCTCCAGGCGCGGCAGCGGCGCGGCAGAGGCGCGGAAGTCGGTGCCGTAGAAGAGCAGCGCACGCGTCAGCGGGTCACTCCGTACCCGTAGGTCGCGGGACGCCACGCATGCGCCGCGCGCACATTCGATGCGCTCCGAGTCGCCTGGGAAGTGAGGAAACAGCCCTGGGCTCCACCACAGCAACACGGGCAAGTCCACCGTCTCCTCCCTCCCCGGCCTCGGAGTCCCAGGACCGCGCACCGCCCCCACAGCGCCCAGAGCCGAGGGCGGCCGGAAAACCGCGCCATCCCACGGTTCCGCCCACTCCGCCTCCCCGCCGGCTTCCCTCTGCACCTCGGGCCCAGAGCTGCTGGCTGCACAGACACTGAGCACCCCCAGGGCGGCCAACACAGCCCCGGCACAGCCGGCCGCCATGTCCACTCTGGCACCGGGGACCACTCGGACAGCACAAGACCCCGCCCCGCCGTGAGTTGCGACGGACGTGGTCCTACGCCACAGGGACACGCCGCGCATGCGCCGCTCCGCTTGAGAGAAACTGAAGAGACATGGCGAGTAAAGATGAGGCTACTGGTTACGTCTTATTTTATTTCTTTACAAATTAAAGATGCATTGAAAAATAAACCAATGAGAAATGAGAGGTCCAGAGCAGGGGCATCCCAGGCTGGGAGCAGGCAAGCCTGGCCACCATCAATCCTAGCCCTTGTCCTGCCCCAGCCAATTGGGGTTGGAAGATAACTTGTCAGCCCCTCAGTCATACCAAAGCCCAAGTGGTGTCTCGGCACAAGAGGACAGGGCTTCAGCCATCTCTGTCTCTCCCCCCAACAACTCCCGGCTTGGAGAAAGTGTTTCCAATGGGAGCTGAGTGGGATGTGGGCTGCCTCTGTGAGGTATTGCAAGTTGATGATCAGGCTCCCTACAGAACCATCCAGTGTTGGGGCTTCTTCAGCTGAAAAGGAGGCTGGTACCTCTCCCAGGTGTTAATATACTTTTCAGTTCAGTTCCCAGGCCATTCATCTCTGACATGTGCTTCTATCCATGAAGTGTTCACCATTCATTGCAGGGGACAGACAGCACACACAGTGGAAGCAGAGAAAGAAAGCTAATCAACCACCCCCAATAACTTCGACTTGGTAACTGAATTCCAGCCTCAAAAAGAACTGACCACTTTTCTCTCCACCACCTATGGTCCGTACCCAGCTCTTGTGCACCTGTATGTATCCCTAATATAGGAAGTTGTTAAGCTGAATTAGCCAACTCTTACAGTAACCCTGGAGTTTCCTCACATCTTCCTGCCTGCCCCTCTTCTCTTGGAGACTGGTCCAAACGGACACAATATTGCCAGGGTCTGGGTGCCTTCAAACCCCCAACACTGAATCATATACAGTGAACTGAGAAACTACATTCATTACACAACAGGTTTAGCAGGAAAAGGAGGGTAGAGTGAGAGGACAGAGGCACCTTCAATCAGCAGGACATGACAGAGTAGTAGCAGACTTGAGCCCAGAGAGAAGGTGTCTCCTTATATCTTTCCCTCCCCCCAAAGAGACTGAGGTCAGCTTACATGACTTATAAGGAACTGCCCCGATTTCTCTGCCATCCTGGGGTGCTTTGCTTTCTGGAACCCTATGTCATTTACCCACTGGCTTTAGCTCAGTAGCTGCCGAATCTCCTTGTGCATATGACAGAGAAAGTCCACATAGGATGCTCCCCCACTCAGGCTCTTGTCTTCCACCAAGAAGTGCTTGAATAGCATCTCCAGCTTGTCCTCCTGTTTCACCACGATAAGCTATGGCCAGAATGCAGAGTCATGAGGCAAGGCCAAAGAGAATGAAGCAGAAATCCCATAACATGGTCACTTAATTCCCACCCCACTTCCAGATGAAGACTTGACAAAGAAGAAATCCAGGTCAGATCAGTGTTACCTTCATGTACCGCGATCTCTGTGCCCTTAAGCTATCAATGAGGCCTCGAATTTTCTTGGACAGTGGATTATCCAGAACTGGCAATACTCCCTGGAACATAAAATTTATTCATCTTTATGATAAAGTACTCAGATCAGTCAAGAAGGGGCAGCACCGATTTATGCATCATCTGAAACAAGAAAGCCTGGAAACAATGACAGCACCCTCCCTTCCCAAGTGTCCACCGATTAGTAAAGGGACTAGCACACTGCAGTGGCTCCCACTCACATCACAAAGTAAAATTCCACACCCATATTCTCCTTGACTCCCTGCCCTCACCAAGCCACTGGTGATCTGACTGAAGGAGGAAACATTGAAAAGGCTCTGGACAACACCCTGTTGGACACTTGCTCCAACCCAGAGGAAGAGGTTGAGCCCATTCTCCAGCAAATATATATCGCCGTTGCTTAGACGCTCTTCAGATGCTCGAACTGCTGGTTGTTCAGTGGTACTCTCAATGGGAGACTTTGTCTAGACAAAAGCAAGGGGGCAAAAGATCACCAAAGGACCATAAGACATGACTGCCCCCATAACGTGCACACACACACCCTCAGGAAGCTAAATCCCAGATACCATGCTCTCTGGGGTCTCAGTAATTCAGTGTGAAATGTACATGAAAACAAATTCTTTTCTGTCAGACAGATAATGTTAACTCTCTCCACACACATCCTTCTAAGAGGACTTTTACTCAGTGTAGTGTCTCACACTCCAACCCTCAATCGCACCATTGGTAAAAGCCGAGGGTAGAAGAAGACGTTGGTCTCAGCTACATCCATAGAGGTAACCAGCTGTCGGACATAGGCACGGTCATCAGTAGTGACTTCAGCTCCAGGCTGCAGAACATCACTCTTCAACACACAGTTCAGGTAAACTGGGAGTAGCTTCATGCACTCAGGAAGGATCAACTGAGGGATTTATCAACATAGGATCAATGATCATGGAAAATCTCTTCCAAATGCAAAACTTTATCCTGACAATGCCTCCACAACTTGCTTGCCCCACCTGTCCTGCAGAGGAGGGACTGGCACAGTTTTTTCTGTAACAAGCCAAAATCTGAGCACACTGGGCAATGAGAGTGTCACGCACAGTCTTCACAGGGCTGTTCAGGACACCCCGGTATGCTGGATGGGAAAGGGAGAAAGCAATGACTGGTCAGCCACTTATCACATGTGCCTTCCACAATCATACCTACCCAGGAGTGCTGAATCACTGCCATCCTGGACCTTTCAATCCCATCCCACCCTGCCCTGCCTCTGCCCTCACCAAACTTGGCCATGTAGTTGATGAGTGTGTCAGTCTCACAATTTCGATACAGATCAGCCAGTTGGGTACAGCAGTTCAGGGCCAGGTTGTGGATGCGGAGCCGACGCTGCCCTGCACAGCTGGTATACAGCAGGGCACACTAGGGGAAAGAAGAGAGAACTCATTCCGCTCCCTCACAACCCAACCCACTCATGTATTTCTCAGTGAATGTCACCTAGCATTTTCTCCTCATCTCCTGCCTCCTGCCTCCTCACCTGCAGGAGGGCTCCGCTCTCTTCATTAAGCCGATCATCATGCTTGAACTCCACAGTCACTGTCTTGTCCCCATCCAGACCAGCCAGCTCCACATCTGTTGTATTGCTCATGTACAACGCTCCAAAGAAATCTACAGCACGGATACCTGAGGCCACAGGGATAAGGACAGACCTAAAGGTGTAACAGAGGCCACATGTCTCCCTCTCAGATTTAGTCCCCACCTACTCTTCAACCAGGACTGACCGGTGCTTGTCCGAACCCGCATAACAGCATCAAAGCCAACAACCTTCTGTACATCACGACGTAGGTCACTCAGGAACCGTTCTTGGTCATTCTCCACCTGTAGCCCCCAGGCCCAGAGTCACATTACTGACCACATACCTCACTCTATAGTCAGTCTTCCTGTACCCCTTCCACATCACATTCCTGTTTAGTCATAATAACAGTAACAGTGAAAATAATATGTTGATGACAACAATGATAGCTTTTAAGTACTTAATACATTCCAGGTACAACGTGAGGTACTTTCATATAATTATTTAATTCTGTAGACAAATCATTATAAGTATTGAAGTCCCATTTTACAGACGAAAACACAAAGGAGGGAGTAATTAAAAGTCATTTAACTTAAGTCTTAGAGGCCAGGAATTTATCCTAGGCCAGTAAGTGGTGGGGCTAGACTATCAACTCAGAACTGATTCCAAGGCACATGCTCCTACCACCACACCCTCAGGGCTCACTTCTGTACACTGCTCCAACACAATTTCTATTAGTAAGTCAGCAGCTAAAAAGCCATTCCTCATGCAGACATTCCCAGCCCTGCTGCCACATGCCACCCAGAATCCTACACCGTACCTGAAAGCAAGCATATTTGTAGATAGAACCACCAGTGAGCTGGGGCACAACAGAGAGGGTGGCCACATCCACATACTGGTTAGGGAAGAGGAAGAGGTCTACACAGCAGCCTTGGGCCACACACTCTTTGGCTAGAGTCTGATAGGCACCTGTCTGGGGCTGGAAAAGAGTCTGGGAAGAAGCAGAAGAAACGTTCAAATAGTTTGGCTCTGCCCTACTTGAGAACTGCATAAATAATATGGGATACTCAAATACTTGTAAGACTTAAGATATACTGCATTGGAATTTACAATAGTAGTAGAACAACATCTTAAATAAACAAACACCAAAGGCTTTTGGATGAGATGGGATAGAGAGGTTTGGAAATAGTGGAGCAGGTTGATAGTCACAGAACTGACATGTGAACAAGCAGAATGTAGACCCAGTTCCCCTTGAAAAATTGAAAAAGCTAAGAGTACACGCTGGGAAGACACCACCTTCCTCTGTAGTGGTAAGTCCTCCCACCACCTTCTAGTCTCACACCTTCTCCTTGTCTGTGTTGATCAGCTTCCTATCATCTCTGTTCTTCAGCTTCCCGGGGGCCTCTGCAATGGGCAGGGATGTGTGGAACAGAAAGAGCTTTCCTGCACACTCAGCAGCCTAGGAAGAAGACAAGATTATTTGTTTATTCTTTCCTTTATTTATCCATCCCTTCCACTGTCAATTATTAAGCACCAACTATGTTAGATAGACTGACTTACTGGACAGTCATCAATCACTGAATAAAGGGTGGCATTTGCCAGGGGGTACAATGGTCAGAGAAAAGCAAGGCAAAGGAGGTTACCAGGGACTCCAGCCTTACCTTCAGAGCCTCCATTCCAGCCTGGATTACTGGGGCAAATACTGTTTCTGTCTCCCTTGTGTCTGCAAACATTTCTGGAATCTGATCCAATAAGCTGAAGAGACAGGTGAAAGGTGACAACCAAAATAGCTAACAAGATTTCAGCTACCTCAGTTCTCAATTCCCTGAAGAGTCATCTGGCCTCCATACTCTGAAAACTCCTGAGGCATAGCTACTGACCCTTCTGCTCAACTCCCTTCCCACTCCCCTTTTACCCCCACCATCTGGCTCTTACCTGGTGATTACTGCCCGAGACTCATTGATGTTGACCAGGAAACCATCCAGTAATGGGACAAACATGTCAGCCACATCAGATACAACCA